GGAAAGGTTTGAAAGGTTTCCGGGGGGGGGGGGGGAAGTGATGGCTAAACCTGTAATTTATTGTGCTTTGCGCCGTCCTGGGACGCGCAGCATCGTTAGCTGTAGCGGGGTTCAGAATCCGCTTTGAAGCGGAGCAGGATGGCAGGCGCCGTTTGACTGCTCTGTATGTTTCTTTACCTTTGTGGAAAGTGAGGCTTAGAGATTTCCCTTCGTGTTTATTTGTTACTGTTTATGTTTATGCTTCCCTCTTTTCACTTAGTGAATATTAGTGAGGTCAGCTTCAGTTTGTTTATGATCCGTTTCCCTTTTGGATCCGCCGCAGGATTGCTCTGTATGTTTCTTTACCTTTGTGGAAAGTGAGGCTTAGAGATTTCCCTTCGTGTTTATTTGTTACTGTTTATGTTTATGCTTCCCTCTTTTCACTTAGTGAATATTAGTGAGGTCAGCTTCAGTTTGTTTATGATCCGTTTCCCTTTTGGATCCGCAGCAGTCATAACATTTGTTTCCACTTAAGGGAGAACATTTATTTGTTTAGAAAACACTTCCATTGAACTTGAACAAAAGCAGTTCTGTGCAGTTGTTGACCCGGGAAAATGTTTCCAGTTTGTGTCTGTTTCAAAGCAAAGTTGAAAGGTAAACAAGTGGGTTGTGAGGGGTGATGTTTGTCCGCCCTTTTGCCCTTTCACACCGATCTTTGGGAATCGGAGTCTTTCCCTGTAGAACTGAATCAGATGGGCCCTGACCAACGCTGATTTGTCCATGTGCTGTTTGTTCACTGTATCAGAGCACGGCTTTATAAAACCTTATTGCAAATTTCAGTAACAGACCAAATACCCAGGGTGTATTTTTTTCTCACCTGTGTAACTGCTGCTGTCTTGTCCATGCCAGGTTTGCTGAGGAGTACAAGAAGGAACCCAACAGGGGTTATGGGATGGCTGTTGTCAATGTGTTCAAGAAACTCCTGAGCCCCAAGTGCAGTGATGTGTTTGAACCGGCAAGAGCACAGTTTAATGGAAAAGGCTCCTATGGAAATGGTGGTGCCATGAGGGTGGCAGGCATTCCGCTTGTTTATTCTGACGTCCAGGATGTTAAGAAGGTACTTTTTTGGCTTGTTTGGGTTCCTTGGCTCTGCAAGTAGTCACTAGTAGGCGAGTCCTACCACGATCTCTCAGTTAGGTTTGCTAATGATATGCTTTCTTTCACAGTTTGCAAAGCTCAGTGCTGAGCTAACCCATGCCAACTCCCTGGGCTACAATGGGGCCATCCTGCAGGCCCTGGCAGTGCATCTTGCCCTGCAGGGAGAACTCAGCAAGGAGACTTTCCTTGAGCAGCTGATTAGCCACATGGAAGATGTAGAAGCAGATGACAAGTCTCTTACTGATGCCCGAGCGTAAGTAGCTGTGAGGAGCACTGACTCCTCTGTGTACCATTAGTTCTGTCTCTTCGCGTTCTCTCTTCCTCATTGTGCTCTTGTACCCAGACTAGGATTTGAGGATTTACCGTTTTCAAGGCGTCTAAAGAAGATAAAGGAATTTTTGGAGCTCAGCAGCGTTCCCAAAGCAGATGTATTGTTTGAATTAGGTAAGTACCTTTCTTACTACAAGTGTTAGGATAAGAGCTGGAGGCATGTCCAGCTCAGCCCACTCGTTCACGTGTCCTCCCCCAAATCACCACGTTCACCACTGCAGCCTGGCAGGCACTGGCTATGCTGCAAAGGCTGCATCTCCATGCCAATCAATAATTCTCTGAATCCTGACCCAGGAACTCGTCCCCTGTGTTGGTGGGAAAAAATTGTCTTGCGAAGAAAAACTAATTTTGAGTAATGTTCTTAATATTTCATGATCTCTTAATGGCTATCAGATCTTTATGCTGGACAGGAATGAGTAGATGCGTATTCAGGCCTATACTGGCATAGTTGGGAATTGGTCTCTGTGATGGGAATTGTACTGGGGAGCTAGGGGTAGGGGGGGAGAGCTCTATTCAGAGAAGTGCAAGCTTACTTTTGCATCTTGTGATGTAAAAATCAGTAATACTAATATTGAAAGTGACTGGCAATAGGAAGTTGCAAATAAAAGGAAAAAAGAGCTTCTGTGGAAAAGAAGATGCAAAGTGTTCTGCAGCACTGAAGATGATTGGTTTTGTTGACAGGCAATGGCATTGCCGCTCTGCGATCTGTCCCTACTGCAATTTACTCCTTCTTGCGCTGTATGGAAGCTGACCCAGATATTCCTGATCACTACAGCAACCTGCAGAGGACCATCATCTACTGTATCTCTCTGGGTGGAGACACAGACACCATCGCTACCATGGCAGGAGCCATTGCAGGGGCTTACTATGGGGAGGAACAGATACCTCCAAGTTGGGAGCAGAGCTGTGAAGCTTTTCAAGAAATAGAGAAGCTGGCAAATAGCTTGTATGAACTCTACTGCCAGCGGCTCTGAGGCCCGAGGGGAGTGTGTTTTCTGAAGGTAAAGCAGGTGGGCACCTCTGCTTTTCTGATCAGAAACTTTGTGGTGGATCCGCACCATCTACAGATGCCAGTGAGCCTCTGCCTGAGAAAGACATCTGCTGATGTGACTTGGGAGCTGGAGGCAAGAGCTGGGTTTGAAGAGGCGGGACATATCTTCAGTTACATTTTAGCTGGGAAGTGGATGCATGTGGCGCCTTGGACAGTGGAGTGATTCTCCACTGAAGTTCACAGCAGCGTCTAGTTTTTCATATCATATCTGCTTTGTCCCACCCTTATGCCATTATGTCACTGTCATTACAATTACTGTGATTCAGGTAGGTGTCTGAATCTACTGACTTTCTAGCTGATTTCCTCTACTTTCATATCCGTGGCCTTCATTTCAGTTGTCAGTGATCTGTCCTGCAGTGGCTTCGATATGCTCCATACCCCTCTTAAAACAGTAGTTCATGCTCAGCTGACCCAGCTAAAGGATTTAGATGGGAGTCAGCAGAGAGGCAATATCACTGGAGAGCCTGGAGGGCATCCTGTGTGGTGGTACCAATTGCCACCTATGTTATGGAGTAAGGATGCTGGAAGATAGACCTCCTAGGAAGATTCACTTCATTAAAGGCAGGATGAAAAGTGCCAGAGATTGGAGAAGGGATTTCTTTGCAGTTCTAGTGACATTTTAAGAAATGCCTTTGGTCCATGTAGGTAGAATCCCAGTTGGCTCATTGTTACTGTTGGAAGAAGGCGTAACTTTGGTCTCCTTTGCTCTACCGTCCACTTGACATCATCCTGATTTGTTAAATTTTGTGCTGCCCTACACAGCTGACTTTCACATTGCTGCAGCTACTCTTGCCATTTCCTTTTGTTCCCTCATCCTTGCATCCTGCATTCGTAATCCTGTCCTGTGTACGTCCAGAGCACCAACTAAGATTGCCGTTTAAATCTGCGGGTGGAGATATGTTGTGAAACCTAGTGTTACACAAGGGTTAAATTCTTGGTTCTGCTGCAGTCAATGACAAGAGTGACTTCAGCTGGAAACAGGAGTTGCCTCTCACAGCTTTAAAACTGTACTTGCTAAGAAGCTTCTGGAAAAAAAAAAAGGGGAAGGCAGGTTTCAGTGGGGGGGAGACTTTATCAGAGTTTGAAAGAACTTCTGCATTTGAAACTGGTACAAGTGGCCAAGAATTTTCCAGGAAAGCTGTCTTCCACAGTTTAAATTTAAAAACATTTGTGCGATGGAGTTGGTCAGAGGAGGAATGACCTGAGCTTGCGTACAAGCAGAGGCATGTCTAAAAAGGCTTAAAAGGTCTCTAGTAATTAAAAACAAAAGGAGAGAAAGAGGCAAGCATATGGAAACATTTATAAATTTGAATGTGACAATGTGATTCTCTATAATTGCTCTAATATTTCTTGTGAAACTGGGAAGTACATGCTCTAATGGAGTTCACTCCCTGTTGATATTAGCACATGGTTATTGTGTGTTTCAGGCTACATGCACACGTAGAAAATCTGGTTGTAATAGGGTCATTCCAGTTTTTCCTGTACTCTGCTTCCTTCAAGTACGATTCTTCTGTGTGATGCTTTAATGGATGTTCCTTGTATAAATATGAGTATCTTGTCTTGCGAACATGTGGAATTATGATTTACTGTATATTTATGGGTTGTGCTTTGGATCTGAGTTGTAAAATATCAACTTTTTCAAATTACTCTGCCGGAGATGCCAACATTTTTGACGGAGTTATTTAAAAGAAGACCTTTTCCTTTTAAAGCAGCTTTAAATTTTTTAATGTGTGGAACTTATGAAGAATGGACAGATTTCCTGTTTAAAAAATATATCTAATTTTAGGCCAGAATTTAACTGCACACTGACATTCAGCTCTGACTTTCCTGGAAAGAAATAAAATCACTTAGTTATCTTTGTTAATTAGCCACTGCTCTTGTGCTTTCTTTCAAGTCATGAAGTTGCGTTTCTGGGCTTCAGTCGTGACGCTGCCATGGGGAACATCTGACCTCAGCCTTTTGAGTTGGAAAAAATAGCTGCTCAGGCTTCTGAGCAAATAGATGTCCTTATATGTATTTCTTCCAGGTCTTTCCTAGCTGGTCTAAAAAATCCCCGTCATTCTGCTGAAGCTGAACTTGGAACCTGGATGGGAAAATGTATACAGAGAGCTTATGAAAATGTAATTTGTCTCCAGCCTGTTCTGCAGGCTGTTCACGTTTCCCGTGTTAAGGAGGCAGGACGTAATCCTCATCGCCGGCGTGAAACTAAGCATCTGTTTCACGGTTGTTTGAGGGGGCAGAGGCTGGACGAAACGAGCAGGCTGTGCCCTTTGCGAAGCAGTGGTGAGTATCTGGGGCGCTGTAAGGAAGCGTGAGCTTGTTCTCTTCTAGTACCGTTCTGCCCAGTTGGCCGTGGTGGTGTCTTCGTCCGGTGTGGTACAACGTTTATGCTGTCTTCTGTCAAAAGGAGTCAGAGGTGGGATCCGTCTGGGTGCGATCATAGCTATGCATTGGCAACCATGAAGGTGAAATTTGTCTCCATCTTTTTGCATGAGAGTGTTAATTAGCAGGCTGACCTGGTGGAGCGGAGGAACAAGTGAGCTGGATTTGAGAAGGAAATACAGCATAAGACGTCCATGTGAAGGGTGTTACTAGCAAGGTGAATTCTTTGCCGTTCATACCTGACAGGCACAAGCTGGTCCGTTTGCTGGCAGGACAGTAGGAAAGCTCTGGCCTGCAGGGCCCGAGGAGACCGATGCGTGGTGCCATCCCTAGATGTTACTGCGGGCAGTTAATAATAGGACAGAGACACAGCTGAGACCGCCTTTTATACAATAAGTTTTATTGATGTTTTGTCAATACAATCAAGTACTGTAGTTTTAGTTCTGAAGAGAAGGCCAGTTTCTGATCACAAAAAGAGTGCATTTTAAACCAACTTTTACTATGACAGACAGTGCATGTAATAAGTATTTACAAAACTAAAAACCTCTATATACTAGGTTAGAAATGAAGATACTAGAGGCAAATTTAAAAAAAATAGTAAGAATTTGTATATAAAAATGCACGTTGTAATGCAGTTTTCATAATTAAAAATAGACATACTTCATCCAACCCAACCTTTTTTATTATTGTGATTGAAACCAAAATCCCATGCGCTCACACACACGACAGAAAATAATCCTTTCTGCTGGCAAATATCACGTACTCAGTACTCCAGAAAAAAATTCTTCCTGACAATATCCGGTTTAGTGAACAGCCTCCCTCATCCTGTGCATCGTTTTTCTAGCCTAACTCTATGTGCGTGTAATATCTTTGCCTTTCAATTACTGTGTAAATGTAACAGGTTACATAGCTGCAGAAGGTTGATTATGGTTTACGCTCTGCACATGAAGGGACAGTGAAATTGCAAAACAGTTATCTACAGCACGGAACGAGTTAATCTCTCGATAGTGAGTATTTTTGTCGTTGCTTTTTGCCAGCCGGAACCAGAAGTTTGGAATGAAACGAAACAGAACAAAAGGAGATTGAATGTAGGTTAGAACACAGTATAAATAAATCGATTTGTTGAATAACAGCCTTAAACTTCCACTCTAGAGAGCATCTTTGAGCGCGTGGAAGCTCCTTACCCTACCGCAGGTAGTGTGCACGCATTACTGCCCTGCCGCTGGCAGTGTTACTTGGTAAAAGTAGTGAGACACCGTTGCTCTGCAGGGTCTTGGGTGTTACCAGCTTGAGTTCATTGCTGTTCTCCACAGGAAAAACACTTAAATAAAGGGGAGACAAGCCTCATCCTAGAACCCTCCTCCCAAGTTTGGGCTTGAAGAAAACATTTGAGCTTCCACTTGTAGTTTTAGTGATTTTTTTTTTTTTTTTGTACGGCTCCTTTTCCTGCTGGGGAATAACCGATTACAGTTAAAATGTGAATGGCTCTGAGACCCCCCTGCCTTCAGGAATGAAACGCGGGAAAGCCTGGGCCGGTGTTTCCACGTGTGGAAGTTCCATCGCGTCACAGCTTCCAATTTTATATCAAAAAAAATCAGCCCAGGCTGCGGGATACCAGCCCCCAAAGGGCAGTGACTAAAGTGCTGGCCTTTCCATTTCTAATTTCCTTTTTGTGTTTCTTAATTTCAGAGAGAGGTGTGTGTTTAAAAGGAAGCCCTGGATGGCAAGAGGCACAAACACAAGATAGGCTTAAAGGGGGGGAGAGAAAAAAAAAAAAAAAAAAAAAGGAAAACGTGTTTAAATATCTTCTGCAGTCAATCTGGAGAATAATCCCAAGTCCCATTCTTGCTGTGTTTCTTTTCTTTGGCCATATTATAGGCATTACGGAGATTTAAGGGTAAAAGTTGCTCAGCTGGTGACCAAATTGTTGCTGTTTTCTCAGGGATACCTCTTTGTAGAGGGACGTTCAGTATAATGCATGTGGATTAACTTCAGCAGCGCTCTACTTGCCTGGGATGAGAAGAATCACTTAACTGTAAGTGCAAGGGTCAGTTACTGTTTTACCATGAGAAAATCTGCAAAGCAACAGGGTTCAGTTGCTCCTTTTAGCAAAGGACAGAGCAGCCAAGTGGTCGGTATCTGTGCATACCTTTCCCAGAATCTTGCAGCTCACACTCAGATTGATGACATCTCAAGCATTAGTGAGACAGAGTGGTAACAGACAAATGTGAATTTTTTGTTTAACCTAAGTCACAGATGGGCACCTGGAACGGTGCACTTTTACAGATACATATTGCACTATACTTGTAAATAACATTGTTAAGTAGACAATAGCACCGTTGTAAAATGGCTGAATGGAAAGTTAGAATGAACGCTATTTTCGCTTAATTAAAAGGTCCCCAGAGAAGGGGGAAATGCCAATGCAACAGTTTACACGTCCTGACATAGTGAGACATTAAAAGCAAGTTGTCCGTAAGTGGCACTTTCAAGAAAGCATAACTAAACCTTCCATTAAACCAGGCTAGAAGCACCATAAGGCAGGCTGGCAGCGCCGTCCTTGTGTTGGCAGAGAATAACACGTTCACAAGGCCAAGCAAGTCTTTGGGCTGCAAAGAAATATACAGAGTAGCACTAGCCCTTGAACTTGCCGGGAGATGAATTAACACAAGATAGAGGATCATAGTTCATCACAGGGGTCCCAGTTTCCCTGAAGGATGTTGGAAGAGGTCATCTGTCATCCTCCCAGATACCAGAGCCTGGATGTTTTTATTCCTAAAGGTGTTGGGGGGAGCGTTAAACATAGTATTTACTTATTATAAAAAGGTGCTTATGCAAAGTGTTCCACTTGTGATTATAAATCCAACCGCACTGAATCTGGAATGAATCAGAGAGACCGCCTCAAAGTACAGTCTAAAAAAATAGGTATCAATGCGACTGAAACTCGGGCATATGATGGTTTGGGAAGGAAATTTCTCAACCCATCATGGATCTCTGCTGCTGTATATATTTGTGTTAAGTGCCTAGGACCCCTGTGTTTGGTAGCAAATAGACCATCCATTATAACAGCTGAAATGTGTTTTAACTCTTACTCTGAATGGGAAACAAGGGCACTTGACTGCAGACCAGAAAGGCCTGTTCTTCCAGACTACCTTCTCTGGATCACAGAGCAATTTACTGCGTAGCCAGATCCTTGCCATCGCAAGCACGTTCCTGTGTTTGATGTGCAGTCACTAGGGTAAAATTTACTTCAAATACACTTTGCTGAGAAAGTCGCTCCCCTCCCTCCCTTCTCCCCTCCCCCAAAAAAGAAAGAAAGAAAGAAAAATGTCTCCTTTCCGATTACCCTCTTGACTCATGGATCAAACAGCATGAAGCAAGGTCCCGTGACAACGGCTTGCGCCTTCTTCCCAGTGATTTTTCTTTTTGTATTAATTTTATTTTAATTTTTTTATCAAAAAAGACAGTTTATGGCTAGAGTGGGTAAAAAGGAAATGCGCCCAACAGCCGTTATGTGGGGCAAAGCAGGAATCCAGAGAAGGAGGAGTGGATGTATTCTGTGGAGTACAGCCCGTTGGCTTGGTCCGAGGGCATTTGTACCCAGACTTGGTCGTTCTCCTTGAGTTCGAGCACGGCACTGCCTGAGGCTTGGTCCAGGTAGCCTTTTTTGTACTCGTCGTAAGTGTAGGTGGCAGGCACGTTGTTCTTATAAAGTGCCACCCAAACATTAGTCCCTTTGACATGCACGTGGTAGGCAAAGTAATAGATGCCGGATATGGGACAGGTGAATATCCCAGTGACGGGGTTGTAGCCGTTGTGCCCGTTATACAAAGTCCGGTCAAACTTCACCGGCATGCCCGACGCTGGGAAGGGGGAGGTGAGGATGGCGGTGAAGGCTGGCGCGATCCGGGCGGAGAGCTCTCCTCGGCCGT